TTGGAGTTTTTCCACCTTCCCTTTTCACCACTTGAAGTTGTGCCCAGGGGCTGATTATTTCCACCTCTAGCATGAGCTTATAATTGTCATATTGGTTTCCCGAAAATTGAGTTAAAGGTTACTTCTTTTATGCACTTCCTCTTTTCGTGAGCCATTGAACTCGTCAGCCAAAGGCGCGCAGGTTGCATGTCCTTCGCTAGGGTTTTTTCCCCTTTAAATCTTCTCTCTTTCCCCATAATCTTTCCAATACATGAATTGTAACTCCTCAAGGTAATATCTCGTTTCATAAATACTTCTTTAATTTGATACATATTAATTATACTTATTGATATGCGGTTCTTATCTGTCATCATGATTTCTTAAAATTTGCGTAAGATATATTTTCTCAAGACAACTCTTGATCCGGGGTTGTCTTCTTGTTTGCCATTCTTGATTTTGAGGCTTTGCTTGTTTATGCCTATTCATTTATCCGATGAATTGTATTGTATGTGATTTTTTTCGACAGTCTTGATCTTGGTCGTGAGAATTTTTAGATTTGGTGATTGTTCTGATTGAATATTCCTGTTCTTCTGGTGTTCTTTTTCTTCTGGTGATATTGACTTGGTGTTAGAAAATGTGTGATTTTTTTGGTCGTGTGTTGATGGACCGATTTAATTGTAAGATAATCTGACGACTCCTGAAGGAGCGGTGTAAGATAATTGTAATTTTAGCTAAAAGGTGAAATTTTGAGGATATTGCATATTCTATTGAGCTATAGTTGAAACTTTCACTTTTGTAATAGTTTGTATAGAAATTGGACAGTGTTTAACTTAATCTGATTTGGGTTTTAACTTTTTTGTGGTGCCCAGGAATTCTTGATTAGAGTTACTTTGCTGATTTTTATGAGGTTTGTTGTCGTGGGACCATGCCTTCTTCGGATAATCAAGGTTTCCCGATAACTTTTTCTTCATTTCGTCGACCAATTTTGAGCATTAGAAAGGATCAGATTCATTCTGAAACAAGCCACGATTCTACAATTCAGAACCTGGAATCATTTCAAAAACAAGTCTCTGCCCAGTTTCACAATCTTTCTGTGGTTGACCCTCATGAATTTCTCTCCGTTTCATGGATTCGGAAGCTGTTAGATGCATTTACTAGCTGTCAGGAGGATTTTAGACTGATATTGGGCAATAACAAATCGCAGCTCTCAAAACCACCTGCAGATAGGCTTGCTTGTGAATTCTTTGACAGGGCTATTAAGGCACTAGATATTTGCAATGCAACTCGTGATGGAATTGAGAAAATTCGACTGTGGCAGAAACATTTGGAGATCATTGTAAGCGCCCTGGATAGTGAACAAAGAACGACAGGTGAAGGTCAGTTTCGTCGCGCAAGAAAATCTTTGATGGAGTTGGCCCTTTTGATGCTAGACGAGAAAGATACTGGGTCCATGTTTTCATACCGCAATCGGTCTTTTGCACAGAAGGGCAAGGATCACAGCTTTCGTCCATCAGGTCACGCACGATCCCAATCATGGAGTGTATCTCCTTCTTGGTCAGCATCCAAGCAGATCCAATCAATCGCAAACAACTTGGTTCCTCCCCGTGCCAATGAAATTGCAGCCACTAATGGTCTAGCGGTTCTTGTCTTTACAATGAGCTTTATTCTCCTGTTTGTTTTATGGGCTCTTGTTGCGGCAATACCGTGTCAAGATCGAACTGTGCCAATTAATTTTGCAATCCCACGTAATTTTTCATGGAGTGCAACATTGTCATCACTTCATGGTCGGATTTTGGAGGAATCCAAGAAGCGAGACCGCCGAAATTCCAGTGGATTGTTGAAAGAAATATATCAAATTGAAAAGTCGATACATCAGCTAACAGATTTGGTGGATTCTACTCTGTTCCCACTTACAGGGGAACAGAAGGAATTAGTGAGAGGGAGCGTGCACGAATTATCATTCGTATGTAAAGTTTGTAAGACTGGACTGGATCCACTAGAGCGCCATTTAAAGGAAGTTTTCCGGAAAGTTATGAGTTGCCGGACCGAGGGTCTTGAATTCTTAGGCAAGGCTACAGAACGTTAGATGTTGTATTGAGCTGTGTTGATCAGAAGTGAAAGTTTCCAATATATCATCATTTTAGTTTTGTCAAGCCTAATTTGGGAAAAGAAGAGATTGCTGCTGAAGATAATGGATTTTAGCAGGTAGCTTTTTTGTATTTACAGATATACTTTATGTAAGAAAAAGACACTGTAAATATCCAACCATCCTGTTTCAAGACTTCACCACAAGCTTGATGACATCGTCGAAATTTAATCTCAAAAAACATGTTATACTTTTTATCTTTCTGGTCATACATGTATAATGAACATAATCTTTTGTTAATTTGCTTCCCCCCATTGATATTGACTCAAACAAGACTTATCTCTTATTTGTAGCGGCCCTGTGGATAGCCCGTGTTTTCCCTTAGACGATAAGGATTTTGTCTATCGTTCTTGTTATGGGTGTATTTGTGAAGATATTTGTTTCTTATCGATTTCCTTGGTTTAGAAGATCTATTGCTGTTTGTGTTTGATATGCGTGAGGGTCTGGTGAGCAACTGTTGCTGGCGATTGGTTTTCTAGTTGCCGAGACAGTATCAAGTTGACAGTTTCTAAGGGGCGACAGTAACTATTGATGCTGGCATTATCATGATGATGCATGATTGGCGATACCTTAGGTTCTTGAACTGCATTCATTGGAGACGAGTAATCTGCATTTAGACTCTTGGTTTTTTGAAGTTAATTCTGTTTTGGTATCAGTATAGACGTTGTTATGTACTTTAAGGCCTTGTTATACTGTTCTGCACTCGAGCAGCTTGATTTTTGTGTCTAAATATCGTGATTCTTGTTCATCTATTATCGTCTGACTTAGTTGTAGTTCAAATGACGTGCAACTCCACTGTATTTGCTTGTTTGATTCTATTTCTGGTATCCAATTCCTAGTTTTTGCTTAATCGATTGAAAGACGAGCGATGAGAAGGCGATTTGCTTCTCTTTAGTATATGCTCGGGGACCATCAATGGGGTCATTTACCATCTCTGAGTTAAGTTATTCAGATATTCAAATCTTTCATTTAACTAGGAGTTAATATTAATCCATTCAATGATTCAATTAACTAATTTACATAAAATAAATACCTTTAAATAAATTTATACCATCACTAGGGTTTGGCAAAAACCAATCCAAAGGCTAGTTGAGTTAGGTTTGGTTGGTATTTGGTTTGGTTTTTTAGTTCAATTGGGTTGTGTTCGGGTTAGGAAATCAAATTTGGGAAGTGCTATGTGTACATAGGTGTGCACATAGGGAATGACATAATGTGAGTGGGGGTGGGGCCTACGCTACAGTGTCGTGGGTCCTACCACACTCACATTATGTCAACCTCTATGTGTACACTTATGTACACATAGATTAATCCATCAAATTTTAGGTTGGATCGGGTTTCTGGTTATCTATTAAAACTCAACTCAAACTTAACCCAATAAATTAAAAAATATTAAAAAGAAAATTAGTAATTAAAACCAAAAACATAATGATCAAAATTCTCCTTTGCTTCACGTCTCTTCTGACTATTGTCTTTTCTGCTTCTCATTGTTGCTCGTGCATCAACTTCTCGACTCGATTTTTTGACGTGATTTTTGAGTAAACACTTGGATTAAATTAGGAGATTTTGTATTGAGTTTGGATGATTTAACATTTTTAGTATTTATGTTGAATTTATCTTATTCAATATCTATAATATGTAGATATTCAACATGTATTTAGATTGATTTAATATGTATTTAATTTGATCATAGTATAATCTAAACATTTTTAGTATTTATGTTGAATTCATCTTATTCAATAAATATAATATGCAGGTATTCAACATGTATTTAGATTGATTTAATATGTATTTAATTTAATCATGATATAATCTATTTAACATGTTTTACAATATTTTTAATTTATATTGTTCTATTGGAATGAAACTTAACCTCACGGACCATTGATTCATCTTCAATTGACTTAAGTCCTTTCAAATCACTATTTTTAATGTAATTGAAACTAATCCTAATTGAATGGTACCAAATTTTAAAAAAATTGTTCAAATTCAACAAAAAATGTCTCAACCATTGAACTCATAAAAAATTGTCCAATTTAAATTGGATTCAAGTCCAAACTAATCAACCCAACACGAGTTTAGTTGGTTTGGATTGGGTTGGGTTTCAACAATGAATGAGTTGGTTTCAGTTTGAATTATTGTCAAATCGGACATGTTGGGTTGGGTTTGGATTGAACTCAAAACCAATCCAACCCAACTCACGCCCAGCCCTAACCATGACAAATTCATCAAAATTAACGATTAAAAATAATGCTATCTGATGATACCAATCCTGCAGAAATCCCGAGCTCGAATTCCCGAGGAGTTCATGTCACATCTAAGCCAGAACCAGCCTGATCTCCTCGGGAACGGGCTACAAAGTAGAGTCCTTATGAGAATGTGTTACCTCATTCTAAGAAGATTCTAACACTATTCACATTTATATCCAAACATGTGGGTAATACGAACCCAACTACATTACAATTTCCAATTGCACTGGGACTCCTAGGTATCACGACATTGTAGTCCTACTAGGAGTCCACCACCTACCTCTATAAATACATTATTATCATCCATTATCAAGGTATGTTTTTACACAATTTACAGCATATATTATCTTCATAAATTATCTCTTTGACTTAAGCATTGGAGGGGCGACGATGACACACCTCGACGCCTTTGTTTCAGGTACTGGAAGACCTCGTTCGTGCTCATTCTCAGTCGTCAAGCTCAGAAGTCGACATGTACTATTTTTGGTAGCATCATTGGCGCCGTCTGTGGAAGACGCTACCAAAAGCCATGGTCAACACACATTCAGGTCTTCCTCCAATAAGTTCATCCGCACCAAACCCACCACCCGTGGCGGAGCCTCAAGCCCATCAAGAATAATCATCTACAGTACCAGCTGCCCAACCACAGGTGGTTGATATGGGTGTCTTCGAAAAATTTCGTCAACAAGTGACTATTCTGACCCAATTACTAAGCCAAAGGGATGCTCATCCTACGCCGGAACAACCGCTGGCACCGACAGTTGGACAACAAGAAGGTTTCATGGCTGATGCTATAGCTTGGGATACTCGATAGGCTCATGACAATTGCGGATCCAGAGCTTTGGGTGTGCCGCTAGTGGCCTCGGCTTCGAGGTTGGTCACCATGTACTCAGGAGAACTAGCCAAGATCATACAGGATGGAATCATCGCTGGACTTCAAAAGAGCACCCAAGGTATGACGGGGTTTACCCAATTACCCCTAACACTCCCTTCACGCCAAAAGTGTTCTCCTATCCGCTCCCAGACAGGTTCAAACTTCCCCGAATGAAGGAGTATGATGGAACAACTGACCCTACCAACCATCTCAATGTGTATATGGACGTCATGAATCTATAGGTGGCACCATATCTCGTAATGTGCAAAGCTTTTCCGCAAACACTGACCAACGCTGCTAGGGATTGGTTTTCTACCCTATAGCCCAATTATATTGCTTCATTCTCCGACTTGGTTGACAAGTTCTCTACTTTATTTGCCAGTAGCAGGCGCATCAAAAAGACTACCGCATCCCTCATGCAGCTCAGGCAGGGACCGAATGAATCTCTGCGTAACTTCATGACGAGATTCAATAAGGAAAGGCTTTAGATACGCGACCTTCACATAACAGTAGTAATCTCCGCCCTCACATATGCTATAAGGGGTGATGCTTTCAAGATGTCCTCCTCAAAAAACCCGCCGAAGTCCGTGACCGAGCTACTAACCCGAGCTGAAAAATACATCAATATGGAGAAAACTTTGAACCCAAGGAGAAATTCTCACTCGACCTCTGAGAAGCCCAAACACAAAAGGCAGCACGATTTCAATCCTCGTCCAAAAGTTAACAAGAATAAACAGAAGCATGAGATACAACCGACGTC